TGTTTGAATGAGAGATGTTCGTACTATGCATGCAATGAATGCGTACCGATCTCTTTTCAGCGCTAATATATCTAGAAAATTTTGCTCAATTGTCAAACAGCAGGCGATGTTGTTTCTTATAAGCAACTGTCTGCCAGTACATTAGTAAAATTGAATATCTTTTTCAGAATTGACAAGATATTATCAATATGCGTTTCATCTGTTCATCTTCTTCCTCTTCCGACTGTATAACACTCAAACAATGGTAAATTCATTTAAAGTAGAAGTAGAACTGAAATATATAGAAATTTTAGCACAGCTTAGAGTTGATAATTTTATACAATTTGAGGAACCAGAAACAGAACCGCTGGATTTATCAATGTCAAAAATGTGCGGTGGAAAGATTGAACTACCAGATGTATCAATACCAGAAGTGAGTGAGGGAGAAACAGAACTCAGCGAAATTAATCAGGAAGACACAAGATCATTGAACATACCAATTCAAGAAGCTGGCAGGGAACAAACAAGTATGGACATATACCGAAGAAAATCTGGCTTAAGAGGTATCAAAATGAAACACGCAACATCCAAACATTCAAAAGGAAACATCCAGAAAAAACGACCCACACAACTGCGAAGCAGTTCAAATGCGAAAAGGAAGATTTCGTTGCGTTACCGAACACACATGTGATGAATCATCCTGGCAAGAAACCGTACTATTGTCCGAAATATGGGAATAATTTCATCCGGTCATCGAGTCTGAATGCGCATAAGAAGATTTTATGTGACAGCTGTCCGATTGAAGACTCACACTGAGATCTTAAACCAGCTTCTCCGAGAACTGCTTTATGCTAGTGATTCCGCCCTCGTTGTTCAGAGAAAAAAAAGTTAAAGCATAAGTCAGTTTAACAGTTCAATTATCTGGAAAGTAAGGTTGAAAGGTAATGTTGACAAAGAGATAGACAACAGGTTAGCGAAGCATACAGAAGGCTTTTGGACAGCTCTGTAACAGAATATGGCACAAACACAGCATATTCATCGATTGGATAGTAATTCCATCAATTTAGGATCAAATTTGAATGAATAACTTAAAATCAATTAATTAATTAGTGTAGGGTATTGGAACGTTTGTTTGTCGAGTTTTGTCCATGATGTAGTTTCTTGAGTTGAGGAGGAGAGATGGATTATACCATGAAGGGTACTTCATATTATAATGTGGACAGGTCAGAAGTGACATCCAATGAATGTCACTGGGATTGTGTTTTGCTAAACATTGTTACAAATTCATTTTTTCATTCCACTTGTGATGGGGTCGGTGGGCTAAGTTATGTGATTGAAGTGTTTTGGTAAAGCTGCTTACTAAAGGAAGGTGCTTATTATTCGGATATATGAGAGTGGGTGTTGAGGTTGTGGGTTTGAAATAAAGTTTTTCTAAGTAATCTACCGAAAGTTTGATGTTTATTACAGATGTATGAGATGATGCCATCATTGCGGTTGTAGTCAAACAAAAAATTTTTATTAATTATGAATCGAACTGATGACGGGCATTGTTGCATCTGTGAACAATTCCTGAGAGTTCTCAATCTCAATCCATTTTGATCAGAATTCGATTGTATTTAGGTGGAAGGTTTTGTAATTAAAGAATTTATATTTCTTTTCAAAGTATAAAACTATCAAAAATACACTACTTTCAAAGGATAAATTCTAGGTTTTTGAGGATTCTCGGAAGTATGGGGCATTGTACAAAGCACATGATCATGGATGCACACAATCCCTGGCAGTAATAAGGCGTGAATTTATATGTACAAAAGAAGTTTGTTGAGGAAGATGTCACTGATTGCTGCTTTCAGTTAATTGCTTGCAGACCATTTTTCGACGTCTTGCATGCTTTTCCCGCCTGTTAAAATAATTTCATTTATGTATGATGCATATTATTCAAACTGCAAATTCTATTTATGGGTAGGATGGATGGGTTCATTTGTGGGATTTGCAACTTGCACGTAAGTTGTAAGATAAAAATTATCATTGTGATGCTAAATCCGTCTACAACAGTTGATTCAAATGTTTGTTAATATGATTGTGATTTTAGGAATGCATTTGTTCAAAGTATGGTACTGAGATTTATTTTGAACTTCGGTTATTTCTTCCACACTGATCCATTTCCATGGTAGCGGTTTATAAGAGTAATGTCAACCTTGACCTTCCCTCAATTCCCTTAACCTTATATCTCGTCTTTTTATTTTAGATTAGTTAAAAAATATTTTTAATTTGCCCTTATTTGCCATGTTTTATATGCAAAAAGATAACCCTAAAAAGATGTTTATAAGCGAAATCATCATAGGCCACGACGGTTTCAAATTTGCCGCGTTGCGACCACGCATCTACTTGAATATTT